TTTCAGAATCTTCTTTTCATCAGAATTTGAATTTTCCTTGTAATTCCGCTTTGTTTTTTTCTTGCAGAATATTCTTTTCGTCTCGTTTTTGTTGTCGCTCTTGCTTTTCTTGTTCTTCGAATTCTTTTTCCATACTTTTCTTTAAATGGTATTGTTCCACTGAGTAGAAGTTGCAACAGAAGGCAACTTTTCACAGACTCTTTTTTTTTTGTTTCAGAACATGGTTTGTCTGGCCAACTTTGTTTTTAGAACAAGGTTTGTCTGGCCAAAACAATGCCTTCTTAAATGGAGTAGGAATTTTTCCATCAATTGGTATATATTTTTCAGGTTATTTTTCATTGAGACTCTGTTGTAAGTTTTCTAAAGTAGTTGTATCGTTAACATTAAAATTATTATCCGTATCAAAATGCGGTTGTGCATCTTTATCTGTATTGGATTTATCAGCATGCTGTTCTTGTTATCTGAACGCTCTTCTTCTGTTGATATTTTAGGGTCATTTAATTTGGGAACGATAGATAAATGTGTTGAGTTGTTTTTTATTTTTGATCTTCAGCCAAATTTAAAAAAGAATTAAATGTTGTATATTTCCGTTCCACGTATCCAAGTCTGCTGCATTAAATTCTTATAACAAGCCAAGGTCAATGTAGATCTCTAATATTTGTTGAAATGTTTTTTCTTGTAGAGTTTCTTCTACGGGGAATGAATTATTGTAAATTTCTGTATTATTTGACTTGAAATATTTTTGGTAGTTGATTACATTGGCGTTGAATGGGCACAAATCGGCAGCACAAATCCATTCAATATCATTTTCGGAGTAATGGAATTTTCGATGGCTTTTGCTAGAACTGGTCCAAAATTCTTCTTCTTCATTTTTTAACCATTGTTTTGTATTCTCAAATTGTTTACTTTATTTCTCCAGCAATTTTTAGGGGTCTAAAAACTCCTACATCCTCAAGTGACTCGAATGTCCATCAACGAAAAATATAATTGAGAACTCAATTTCATTTTTCACATCCCAAGGATTAAAAACGTTTGTTATATACTCATAGAAAGTTTCCGCGGTCATCCATCCACTTTTACTTTTACCAATTGCAAAACATTTTGGCATAGAAGCAAATATACCCGGTGGAATCCTTTCATAAGCAAACATCATCATGCCTGGGGCAATGTTTCCTGTTGCGTTTGCTGTCATAAGAACAGTAAGCCACTCTCTCGTCATCTTGTCAAAAAGCCGACTCATCAGCATTGAATACTCGTTTAGGATCATTAAAAATGTCGTAATAATTATTCTCCTCAATGTAAAAAAATGTTGACACAACATTGAAACTCAACATTGAAAAAAATTTCAATGTTGAGTTTTTGGCAACAAATATGAAGCATTTAAACTATGCCTAAAAAACACCGAATGTAAATATAAACTTTCACATTGCAAATTATCTCACGTCTCTTGAACGAAGACGGCATTAGGTGGAATTTGTAGCTGAAGTTATGTAGTTTCGAAAACATACTTGCAATCGAAAAGAAGTGGTTTTAAATGTTTTAGATTGTTTGTAATGTGCAAGTTCAGCGATCCTAAGACATATTTAAAACGCCTCATATTTGTTGTCAAAACTCAAAATGGAAATTTCATGTTGGTTTTGAAGATTGGAGTCTGAGGGTCTAACAATGGAAATTCCATATTAAACGTTAATTTATTTAACAGCTTTATCGAAACTGATTTCATTTACGGCAAAACAGCCCTAAACACTTGATCTACTGAAAAAGCACTTCAGAAGGAAAAAAACCTGCTAAAAAAAGGTTTTAACAGAAGTTAATTATATAAGTGTTATCATTTCTAAACAAGGAATATCACAAGATTAAAGAAAGGAAACAACAAAATATCATAAGCAATCCAGAAACGCCCACAAGAAGGAATTAAAAGATGGCAACAATATTATATGTCAAGAGCTTATCAGAAAAATTAAAAAGGATAGGAAATAAGTACATTACATCATCATCATCATCATTCAAAACAACCAACCAACCAACCAATTTTTATGTGGGAGAAACCGCAAGACAGCAAGTGCTTCTGTTTCTTTACCAACCTTCCTCAGTACTTCTTTGTTTGTAATTCTATCAGTCCATATTTTTAATACTCTACGGTATAATCAGAGTTCAAAAGCCTCCATTCTTTTTAAATTACATTTTTTTAATGTCTCAGCTTCATATAATAATATTGAAAAAATATATAACATCGACTGGTACATAGTGATTTTTAAATTAAAATTTCTGAACGTTAGGAGTGGCTTCATTCGTATAAATGCTGATCTGGCAATTTCTATCCGCCTGTTTATTTCTGCAGTATGATCATTGATTTTATTGAGCAAAATTCAAAACACAAACCATCAAAAATATTTAAACTCAGTTTTTATTTTTCCGGCACTACTAGTGTTCCCAAAATCGGTCTTGGTCTTGCAGTCTTTGTCTTGTTCTTGTATTTTCGCAAGACCAAGACAAGACCGCCTTATTTTAGCAAAACCAAGACTGACCGTGCAAGATTTACGCAAGAACAAGACTAAGCTTGCGAGACTCTTGCGTTTTGCAGTTATTACTGAGTGTCGTTTTAGCGAGTATAGTAGTTTGGGTATATACTAAAAGATTCTATGAGACGCAAAACAATATGTAATAAAAATTTTAAAAACTGGACTTATAACAATACCATAAACATACATGCCGAATCAAAATATTCATTAAAAAAAAACACATTTGATACGTGTTCAGAGGTCATAATTACAATGTAAAAATAAAATATTTTGTACATTCTTTTCCAGCATACGACTTCTTCGCTCTGAAATTAATTGTCCAGATTTTGAGAATAGCCACCCTCTAATCATAAAATAATTTTGCATTGCGAGGCCGACAGTAATATCGTATCGAAGTTTTTTAAAAATATGTCACCTTAACTAATAAAAAATATAGCACTTATTGTTACGGACACTCACTTAATAATTCATTTTTCCCCATTATAATTTAGCTAGGAGGAATCTAAATAAACAAATCTTATCGGCCTAAGACTAAACATTGTTTCTGCTGAGTGTGCGATGAGATCATTCGGTTAAACAAAATTTGCTGAAAGAGCGCGACTAAAATTCAAAAGTAACTAGATAAATTAATAACAGATAATGTCGCCGATCGTGTAAACAAAATACCGAAATATTTAGAATAACGAAGTAACGATATATAATTCTCGGTTTGTTATAAGATACTTAGGGTATTAAATAGTTACAGACATTTATAGTAGTAGTTACTTTTTCGACATCACTAAACTTACTTGACAGTTTACAATTTGACATGAAGGACAAAGATTCAAATAGTTTTAGTCGGAGTAGTGAGCGTTGGAATTATAGGTCTAAAAGACCTAAAAGCAAATTTGATGAGTTTTTCGAAATAATTCATGCATCCCAAATTGCTTTGTGTAAATTGTGCCTACATAGAAAGGTTGAAATGAAAATGAAAAACAGAAACACGTCAGGTTTAAGGAAGCATCTAATGTCTTTTCACAAAAAGAAATTACAATTATTTCTTCCTGAAAAAAGAAAATTCTGGTTCCTAAAAAAATGTACCTACTACTTTATTTTGGTATATTAATGTATTTATTAAGTAGATATTTCCTTAATTTAAAATAACTTCTTTTGATTATCATTGCTTTTTACTTATTTTTTATTTTTTCAAATTAGTTTTTTATATAAAAGTAGAGCTAAGATTGTTAATAACATTTATGTTGCTTTAAAGTTCCATATTTTCATTTCATATATGGTAGGGGTTCATCAATCCCTTTCTAGACAGATAATGTTCTTTAAAATACAGCCTGGCTGCATAACCTGCGAAGGTGGTTTAACTTAACCACTACCGGATTTTTCAGGGCAGCAGTCAACAAAGTCAGAATAGCCATGTTAGTGTCCAACATCCGTAACGGATAGGCACCATAAGAAGAAGAAAAAATACAGTGAATTTTATGCATCGAGCAAAAAGATAAAAGAGGGAATCTAATCGTTATGAAAAGGAGACCAAAAAAGTGGCCTCTGATGGCGGACATATCCGGAAATGCAAAGGCGCTAAATTTAAATTTTCCAACACTTATTAACAATAGCGATAAAATATTTTTCAGACGAGAAAGTTTTAATTAAATATTAACTATAATAGTCTAAAAAGTGACACAATTGGTAAAAGATTTCAATATAAATAAAATTTCATGTGACAGTTGGGACAAACAATAACATAACCTAACTAAATTTGACTTCTTAAACAAGGAAAGAGACTGTCTATCCTTGTCTAAAGTGGCCTCTCAAGATGGCACTTCCTGTCTATCAATATGTTTACCCCCACTACCTTTACATTCCCTCTTTTGTCTTATTGCTCGATGATTTTATGTCATTAATTTGGTTTTTTTGTATTTTAACCATGTTTGATTGACCTCCGTGGGGCATGGTAGTTAGCTGAGTTAGTTAGAGCGAAGGCACGGATCGCTTAGATCGTGGCTTCACACCCCCTAGTAACGTTTAATATATAGCAATAGGCTAATGGGTAACTGCAAGACTTGCAAGACTCTTGCTGCAAGACCAAGACCGGGAGTGCAATACCAAGACCAAGACCCGGTGTATTGGCGCAAGACCAAGACCAAGACTGTCTAAGTCTCGTCTTGTTCTTGCATTTGGGCAATACTAAGCACTACACTAAAATGACTGTTGTCATAAAGTTTAAGTATTAAAGAGGTGAAAAGTGATGGGTGATGCTTATCAGTATATTTTTTAATTTTATTTTATTGTAGATACCTACTTATAATATTTTAATATTTAGTAGTAAGAATTTAATATCTTTCAAGTGGATATTCTTGGATTCATTCTGATAAAATCATTTGAAAGGCATAAGAAGTTGTAAGTATAGGATTTAAATACAAAAACTGAAAAAGATGAAAATGATTATATTTGCGCAATAGACTTTCTATTGAATGTACTAAAAAACATTTAATGCACGTGACTTTTTATCTGATATATAAATGGTGTTTGTTTACTTGTTCTTTAGTTTAAAATTTATGAATAGAGGTAAGCCTCAATACAGTTTATTAGCATATTTGTCACGAAAGAACTTTTTAATTAATTAAAGTTTGAAAAAAAACGACATGTTTCCGTAATTTTACAATTTATTTAATATTGTTTCAAAAATATAAAACTTTGCTACTATATAAACGTAAACCAAAAAACAAATTATTTTTATTTTTTTTTATTTTTAAAATTTTTATTTATTATCATGCAAGCACTTAACTACTAATACTATTTGACAAGCGAATGTTTCTATATATTTGTTAGTTTGCATTCCAGCATATTTCAAATTAGTATGGCCTGATGATGATGTATAAGAGATAAACATCGAAACCGGTCGCACTAGACTTTATGTATAATAGGTCGGTTTTAACTCCTTCTTCCTAGAGGTATTCCTGTGGTTAGATTTTTAGCAGTCGTGTTGTCTGGCATTAGTATTACATGTTCCGTCTATCCAAGTCGCTGTATTTTAATGAAAGTTACGACATCTGGTTCATTAACGAGTTGGTATAATTCAAAGTTATATCTTCACCAAACTACCACTGGTCGTTTATAGCAATAATATTTTGTGGAGTATTTTACGCTCGAATATTTTTACGTGTTTTATCTTTCTCTGTTATGATCCATATTTTTTCCCGATATGTGAGGAATGGACTCAGCATATAATAATTTTAGTTCTTCTTTGGATGTTTCTTAAATGAAATTGTCATGGAGTTCATAGTATGTCTTATTTGTTTGGTTTATTCGTCTTTTAATTTATTTTCTTGTTTTGTTGGTAGTAACACGGAAGATCATAACATAATGTCTTAGTCCATGGTAGTAATTACCACTAAGTCAGGATATGTAAAGCTGTCAACACGTTCAAATCTATTATACTTCCAAACACTGCTTTCCGTTCCTCATTTGCTATAGAATCCTTATTAACCAACATGTGCTTGGTTTTATCTTCGTTGATGACTAGGCCGATCTATTTCACCGCCGTTCTTATTGCTTGGAAATATTTTTTAAAATCTCTCTTGCTACGCCCTTTTATGACAATGATATCAGCATATGCTAATATTTCTATAAATCTATTGTAAATAGTACATCCGGCACTGTCTATAATTCGTGTATCTCAGACTACCTTTTTCAGGGCAATATTAAATAGGAGGCAAGCCAGAGTATCCATAATAATAAGTTCATAATTTATCTCAAAAGTTGTAGAAATCCCTACCTGTATCATAACACTTGCTTTTAAATTAGTCATTGTCATTCTCGTAAATCAGATAAGGATTTTTTGTGTATTAAACTCACGCATTGTTAAGTATAGTACTGTTCTCTGAACACTGTCATACGCGGCTTTAAGGTTGATGATTAGGTGATGGATTTCAATGCTAAATTCTAATGTTTTCTCGAGGATCTGTCTTATTGAATGAATCTGGTCAATCATTGATTTTTCTGAAGTAAATATGGCCTGATATTTTCCTGTTATGCCCACTCTGTACATTTGTAGCCATTCATAGAGAATATTTGCTAATATTTTGTAAGCACTTGTTAGCAGGGTTATACCTCTGTAGTTGTCACACTGGAGCTAGATAAGTTTTCGATAGAATAATAGGAAATTGTTTTTTGTTTTGTAAAATGAAATTTAGGAATTAAAATTATATTATGATTATAGTAAAATAAATATAGTCGCCACTCAAGATAAAAATATATGTCACATGAAACTCAATTACTGTTCCCGAGATAATCTAAAAAAAAACACTTAGGTCAGTAACCTAACGAAATAATGTACTGTGTATACATACAGTTAAATTGACGTACTTGTCAATTTATTAGTAGTTTAATTTTATTAATTTGTTTTGGCGAATGGATTTAGTGTCCGCAGTCATTTAAACACAAACAAACAACAACAACAATTAATTTGATTTTTTGGTCTTGATCTTCTTTCAATTTTTATTAGAATATCAGTTAAAATAATCACCCTGCTGTTAACCCGAAATTAAATGTTCACTTATTCAATCAAAAATTTAAAAAAATAAGTTTCTATTAAAAAATAGCTAAGAATGTTTATAATGGAATTCGTATAATATGTATTATAATTTGTATTAATCGAAACCGGTGACTAACAAAATTTGTGAATACGTCTAAATTAATCGACTAAAGCGATTCAGACACATCAGTCACGTCTCGTCACAGTCCTGGCGCCGAACCGAACAATCCGTCATACAAAATATTCTTTAATAGAAATATGGACCGGTTCGGCGCCGAGACTGTGACGGGACTGATGTGTCTGAATCGACCTTAATTGAGCGTTTTCATTTGACACATGGCTTGACTTTGACTGACAGTTATATTAATTTTATATAAAATGTTTTATTAAAAATCCTTTATAAAAGGTACAATAGTATATAATTTAAAAAAGCCCAATTGGGCAATATCACAAAACATTTTCGGAATCCATATTCCATCATCAGTGTCTAGGTGTACATGTATTGAGCCACGAAATATCTGGGTAAAAACCCGTTAAAAATTGCCTGTTTAACCCCCTCTGTGGCTCAGTGGTAAGAGCGCCTGCCTTTAAACCTAAAGGTCGTGAGTTCGAATCTCACCTGGGTGGAAATTTTCGTTTATTAAAAAAATTAATAAATGAAAATAATTTCTATCCTTGTGTGATCGGTACTCACCAGAGGGACCGCAGACGTTCGGATACAATTAGCGTCTCTTAGCAAAGACAATGACGTCGACTTTGCTAAGTATCAAGACAATTACTCTACACACACAAACACACACACTCACTACATTAATAAACTTATCTTGATTGAGACTGGCTGAATGACAATTGTCCAAGCCAAAACACACAAAAAAAAATTGCCTGTTTAAATTAAGTTAACATTATAATATTAAGATGTTAAAGTTACCAGTGGATTTGGTAACATAGCGACGTATGACGCCACATGAAGTTGCTGGTCCTGAGACGATGTATCTACGAGGACTTGATGAAAGCAACTCTTTCATCAAAAGAGTCTTTCAAAGAGTTGCTTTTATCAAGTCCTCGTAGACACATCGTCTCAGGACCAGCAACTTCATGTGGAGTCATACGTCGCCATGTTACCAAATCCATTGGTAACTTTAACATCCTAATATTTAATATCATATAATGTAAATTAATTTAAACAGATAATTTTTAACGGTTTTTTACTCAGATATTTAGTGGCTCAGTACACATACACCTAGACACTGATTAGGGAATATGGATTCCGAAAACGTTTTGTGATATAGCCGGATTGGGTTTTTTAAATTATATACTTTTTATCAAGGATTTTTAATAAAAAATTTTGTGATACATGGTATACAGCCAAATACAGGAATTTTGATTCCTTGTGGATTTTAATTTTATATATTATAAGTATAGTATAATATTAACTATTGTAAGAACTAAAAACACGGTAACATGCAGCTCAGTTCCGCAGCAGTGAGCTGATAATTGAGCAGGGAAGTTGGCAGCTTGAGTATGTAAATACGTCGCTCGCGCTGCCATTACTCATGCCACTGCCGCTGTCGTACGCTCCCTTCGTTGGCGGTTTTTTACCGGAAATCAAAGGACTGGCAGTGCGAGTAAATCCGGGTACACACATGCCAGTAAATTGAGAAAGTAGCTGGCATGTCAGTTGGTGGCATAGGCCAGTAACTGGCAAGCACAAAACACATTTGCTAGTAATTGGCATGCCAGTAGCTCGCTTGCCAATACTGGCAAGGCGAAAAGATATTGTTAGAAATTTAATAATGAATTCGAAGCAGAACTTGATAAAAAATTGGGTGAGAAATTGAATTGGTAGGCGAGAAAATCTTGGAACAATTTTTTATTTTGGCCGTTATCTCCCTTATAGTAAAATAGAAACACAAAAGACACTCCAATTCTCTATATAGCAATAAATTTTATGGTTTTTCATCACCCCAACGAAACATTTTTTAAATTAACAAGTTTAAAAATAAAACGATTAATTTTTATCATCAATCAATACAACAAATCTTACAACTCCCTGCTAGCTACTGGCATGCCAGTAGCGGTAGCGCGCGTTCACACATGCCAGTGACACGCCCCACGCATGCGTCTTGCATATCACAGCATGCTACTAGCACGAAAAATCAAATTTTTTGCGATTAGCTAGCATGCCAGTTAACGTACATACATGGTAGCTTTGGGGCAGTAGCTGGTACTTACTAGGTACTGGTATGCCATTGTACTAGTAATAGGCATGTGTATCTCCGACTTAACAGTGACTGTTTACATGCTGCTCGCTGACTTATCGGTGTACTTATTTGTTTATTGTTTAGTAAATTTTTTGTTTATGGTTGAGTGGAGCAATGACCAAGTACTGCAGTTTTTAGAGCTATATGCTAGTGATAGATTATTGTGGGATTCTTCATATAAAGACCACAAAAAAGCACAATGTACCCAATGCAGTTTGTCCTTTAAATTTAAATTTGGTCCTTTAAAACGATATTAATTGCTTTACAAACTTTCGGTACAATCAGAGGAATTGTTGGTGATGATACTTTAAATAAATAATGCAAACTTTGGTAACTGTCCCAGTGGCCATATATCGTAATGTTATTGCCCAGCGTATTTTTGGTGGTATTGAAATTCTTACTTTAGTCTGTTTATTTTTTATCATGGGCTGATATTTCTGAAGCAAAAATTCAAAATCTGTGCGTGACATTCTGTAAAAGTAAAAAACTTCGGATTCCTCACAAGTCAGTTCATTGAAAAATTTTGTCATATTTCCTCTGTAAAAAAATGTTTGAAGCCATTTTCAGACTATATATAGAGAGATAAGATCTTAGTGTAGATCTTGTCAGTTAAAATAAAAGTATTGCCAGCTAATTTTACTAAATCTAATACTGTTGATACTAGGTACTGCCAGAAATATAATGTTTTTAGATGTTAAAAAAAAAATAGATATTCTGTGCAGTTGACTCCTTTAGAAATGTTTATTTTTGTAGTGAAGCTATCATACTGGCGTTGTATTAATTTTTCTCTATAGTAAAATGCAGAACGGATCATTACAACATGAACTATTTCGTGTCGTAACGTCACTTTTGTTGGTGTTGTATTAATTGTAGTTGTAATTAATTTTTTATCGTTAGTTGTTATTATTTAGTTTATATAATAATTAAATTTACTATCAAATGATATTAATTTATATGTTATTAATAATTTAGTATTTAGTCTAACTTTGACGGGCCTCTCAGAAGTAAACGACGTATGCTTTGGCAACAATGCAGACGAAATATACAGAATATTTATTACAGAATATTCGTTGAAGCTGATGGCATTGGCAGATGATAACCTATGCAGATTCTGTCACATAAAATAAGAAACAGCAGAGAATATTTTATATCAGAAGAATGCCACCGGCCAAAATCTACATGGAAGGTTCAGTATCGAAATTATTAGACTTTTTAAAAGGGGTCAGGCTAGAGAATGTAATCTAAGGCTAGAGGACCACAATATATCTGAAAAGGCTGCAGTGGAATCTACACTGTCTATCTACAATCAACTCTTTATTTCCGATCCTCTATTTTCGATGTTATTTCTATTCAAAATGTATGTACATTGTCCAAATTACACTTTATAAATAAATTTTTGAAACATTTGAATTTAAATAAATTTCCAACAGACATTACCGGTTATTCCTCGCTCTACAAGTTCAGATGAGATTAATGCACATTTAAAACGATTCTTTTTATGGGGAATTGTCGAAACAGTTCGATTGACCATTAACATGAGAATATTGCTGGATATTGGAAACGGTAAAATAAAACTGCATCGAAATACACATAATTGAGTCAGTGAGTGCGCAGTTTTGGCGGTGAAAAGTGTTGATGTTGATGAAATGAACTTGTAGATTCGACACTTGTTATCAGGTGGTCTGATAACTTTTTATTAATGAAGACGAAGCCATAAATTATCCAACAGAATTTTTAAATTCTCTAGATATACCAGGGATGCCGGGTTCAATAATCCAGCTGAGAGAAGGCAAACTTCGGCTTTGTATCCAATATTATAATCACGTTAAAATAATGTGTCAGATCGTCATTTTTTCCTTAATTCCTTTTTGTAATTCTCAATGGTATAAGTACAGATTTATCCACCAGTATAATTAAAAAATATATAATTAATTCCTCTTCATCTTTTGCAGATTCTCGACAATGAAGGCGGCTTATATTATTACACTACTACTACCTATTGTATTAAGTTACAAAAGTAACTTAAATCCTCTTTCAAATGAGTTTATAAACTATATTAATAGCAAACAAAGCACATGGGTTGCTGGAAGAAACTTTGATGAAAACCTTTCAATCCAAGAGATCAAAAATTTATTAGGAGCAAAAAAAATGAGAATAGGAGTTGCTAAAGAATTTTTACACAGTGAAAATATTCAAGTTCCTGATTCTTTCGATGCAAGGGAAAACTGGAAAGACTGTTCAGATGTTATCAGCACTGTTGTAGATCAATCATCTTGTGGATCTTGTTGGGTAAGTGAAATTTTTAAATAAGTAAGAAATTCAAATGTAAATTACGATTTTTGGCAAGTATTCATTTAGATTTTTTTCATCTATGTAATTAGAAGCACAGATAGCTAGATGCTTTCTCATATACTAATTTTTTTACTTTTATTATATTATTAACTTTTTCTATCATCTACTCATATATTACATTTTTTAATATAAAACTATGCCAATACCGACTCTAAAATGAAGAAAGTTTGTATAAGTATACCTACTTATATAACGGTAAAAGAAGAATGATCTTAAATAAATCCCTTATCTACTCGATTCTACCAGAGCAGTGATTGGGGAGAAAGAAACCTACTGCACAAGGGTACAAGAGCAGTATCCTAAGAAGATATATAATGTAAAAATAACGATTCCATATAATATGATATATGTATGTGTAGTGATAAATTTGAGTTGTATGTATTTTGTATAATGTTAATGTTTTAATTTTAAAAAGACAACATCATTCCATGCTCGGAGGCCATAGATCAGTGGCTAAGTACTGCCACATTATGTCCCTATTTTTTTTTATTTTGATATGAGTATATACCGTCAACTTTAAGGGTAATTCTTTTTTGTCTCATTTTGTCTCTATTTGTCTCATTTCTATTTAATATAACAATTCTAGCCACCCAAACAGTTATAAGAGAGAAGTGATACGTCTCAAATAGTCCCTCCTAATCAAATGTCAACCTCACTTTCACGTTGGTGTACCCTTTTATAACAAACAAGGTTCTGACTACCGAGTATCAGAGAAATAACTGTACCAACTAGAATTAGGGAAATATAATTCCATTAAGATTGAGTGGTGCCGACCCTTCTTCCGAGGTATTGGTTGAACTGAGTAGGCCGAACCATTTAACCTCGGTTGGAATGGTCGGCTTTACACTTTCTTCTACTCTATCCACCCGTCTGGCCAGTGTAGTGGGATGTGGCCAAAACCTCTAGAAAACAAAAATGTCGATTTTAACACTGACATGGAAGCTAGGAATTTTATTCCACAATCTCACGCCGGAGCATTGGTATACCCCAAAGATTTTGGTAGAGTTCAAATCGAGATTGAAAAAGAAGAAGAATAATAAACAACTCCATATACTAACATTATAACGTCCGTTTCATGCCAAAAGATGAAAAACTCTAGTAGAGGAATTGGGAAATATGAATTAGGACATAAGCGACTATCACTTAAAATAAGAGGAAAATAGTATGTGAACTTAACAGTGATGCAATAGACTCTACTATAAAGGCAAGGAAGGCTATATATACAGTAAAGTAGGTTTCTTAATCAATAAGAATAGGAAATTACAAATTTAAATAATTGATAGCATCACGGACAACGCTAGATACATCCCTAAACTAAATTCACAAACCAGAATATGTACATTTAAATGCTGTAACTGAAAAAGTAATTAAATATGAAATAAATACTATTTACAAATATCTTAAAAAACTAGAGACGACAACAGAAAACCTAAAATAATATTATTGGGAGATTTTAACGCCAAAATTGGAAGAAAGATTAGTGACTGAAAACTTCTTCTCATATCCTTTTGCCCTTTCAGGAGTCGAATTAGGCTTCCGGTTCTTCTTTTACCTATTTTCCATGCATTTCTATTTTTAGCTACCATCTCTAATTGTTCTATACGTTTCCCTTTATTCCTTCCTATTTCTTCGATCTGATCTATCCATTTACTTTCCCCTCTGTTCCCCTCCTCTTTTTCCTTCTACGTTTAGTAGAGTATAGAATCTACTGTTTCTTTTTATATAATTACTTACGGACCACCCTGTATAAAGGAAGAAGAAGAATAAAAGTCACGATGTTACATGATTAAGCGATACATTGTCATTGCTGTTATAATCTTCATGTGTTTATATTTCAGTGCTGTGAAAGACACTAGACCAGATTTATCATTTATTCTTAGTAGCAGCTTTTTTTCGTAGATGCAAATTTGATTTGTTAGATTTATGTGTTTGCTGTTTTGAACTAAAGTTTAAGAACAATGATAATAAAGAACCACATTCTAGTTTTAATTTTCGTTATTTAAAGAGATTTGTTTTTAGGCTGTCGCTGCAACTTCTGCAATGAGTGACAGACGATGCATAGCCTCTGAGGGAAAGCTCAAAGTACCTGTTTCTGCTGAAAATTTATTGGCTTGTTGCGATTCCTGTGGATATGGATGCGACGGAGGATATATGGATGACGCATGGAGTTATTGGCAGGATACTGGAATTTCTACAGGAGGTCTATATGGCAGCAACCAGGTAAACTTTTCTATTTATAATTTCACGATAAAAGATTAATTATCTACACACAATAATTCAACAATTCTGAAAGTAGGAGGTTTGGCCATCCAGGTCAACCACCTTATGAGTTGAATTACGATAAAAGTTGAATTCCCACTAATTCGCGACTAGTAGCAGACATTATGGGAAGTTTTAATTGAAATCTGGTGAAAACAAATTTAAAGCCAATTGGAAAAGGGAAATCTATTCGCAAGATTAAATCACACAAATTATTTGCCATTGTCAAGTTTTAAATTTGCTAATGGTCCAACTTATTAATTATTATACCAAGCAAAAACGTTTTTAATTGTTTTTTTTTTTTCATTTTATTTTTTATTTAGCGTATAGCTACATCACAGTTGAGTTTTGTGTATATAAAACAAAGCACAATAAATTACAAATAGTAAATACCAATTGACTTTTTGGTCCCAACTAAGAAATCTGACTGATTGCCACTGTAGGATCTGATCTATGTATCTGATGTAATTTTTAACCGTTTGTCTTGCAGCGCCATAAAAACAATTTGTTTATTTTTCCTCTCCTTAAAAGTGAGTCGGAGCATCTGTCGCAGTTTGTTCCAAACTATTGGTTGGTTTAAGTTAAAATTGTTCAATCTGCGTTATGCTTTTTTTCAGGTTTCTTATCGTGAAAACTTAATAAACTATCAAGTGGCATGAAAATCATGGATTGACTTATTAACATTACATGTTCAGGTCATCATTAATACCCTGAGGGCACCAGTAGTCCTTATGCCAAATTGTTTTAAAATAAAATCAATACTTCTCTATAGATTTATACTTATTTTAATACATGGCATATTCCGAGAGGAAGACGGCGCATTCCTCTCCTATTATTCTCGCCAACAGTCGGTTTCAATTAGAATTATTGAAGAGTCTAGAGGCTTGTTACTTAAACGAAGCCTACTTATGTCTTTGATGGTGATACCAACGTTGGAGCGGAGTACGGGATGGCCATTAATTTTTCTATACTCTCTGCCAAGTGTATGTTCTCGGCGGACGTGTGAGAGGGCTATGTGGCCCAGTCTAGTTCTACTAGCCGATACGTTGGCGTGGTCTTGATTGTGCCTGCTATAATACGCAAAGCCTGTTGTAGTTAGGAGTCAACACTTTTGGTGTGCGGGCTGTTGAGCCACACCGGTGTACAGTACTCAGCAAGGAGATATACGATTCCCAGTGCTGTATATCTAAGCGTAGTCGCTGAGGGAATCCATGTGTTACCACATAACTTTTGCAAAGTTATCCTTTGTTTATTCATTAATGTGTATGAACGCTTGTGAATATTAGTACTTAATTATTTTGACTTATTAGTAAAATTGGAAACACTATTACTATTTTCTAGTAGTTGAAATGCCCACTACAAACAGAAAATTAAAGAGTACTAATCGTTTTCATTTTTAAAATTTCAATGGATAGTAAAATTGGCTACAATGTATCTTAAAAAAAGGTATACTTGTACTGTAAATATTGTACTTGTATTTTACCAGTTAGCACCTACATTATTGAAACTATAACACTAACAAAAGCCAACGCGCCCAAACTTAAAACAATACCAAGAGCTATCGAACGAGCAATACTCATTATCTCTCTAAGAGATAGAATCATGAAAGAGGAAATTTGAAGAAGAAAAGTAACAGATATTAGAAAAAAATAAGTAGGACAAAGTGGAGCTGGGAGCAAGTCATGTAGCGAAGTAGAGATCAAGAACGACAAAAAGAAGAGTACAGAGCTCTCAAAAGCGATAAATAGACGGCTTAAGAGAAAACTCAGGTAATCAGTGGGTACGAATCGCGAATGATAATAGAAACCAGTAAAAGTAAATAGAATAGGCCTATTGGATATAAATGGGTGGAACGAAGAAAAAGAGAAGATAAATCTAATAGTAATAAAAATACCGTATAATATATTTGTTGGAGAAATCCTTTCGGACAGATTCTGGCACCAATTATATATTTAACCCTGTTCAAGTAGCCTAGTGTCGATGTACACACTAGCCCAGAGGGACAAACGGCTTTATGTGCCCTCGTGCACTCGTCCCCACTCAATTTCGCAACCACACCATTTCGACCCCACACCATTACGCGCCCACACCATTTCGCTCCCACATCATTAGGCGCACACACCATTTCGCGCCTACACCATTTCGAGCCCACACCATTTTGCGCCAACACCATTTCGCGCCCACACCTTTTTGCGCTACACAATTAAGGACCCACACCACCACGCGCCCAATATAGGCCATACCATTTCGCGCCCACACCATTACGCGTCCACTCTACCTTGCGCTCATACCATTACGTGCCCACACCATTATGCGCCCACAAAATATCGCGCCTACAGCATTTCGCGCCTACACCATTACGCGCCCAAAATACATATTTCGAGCCAACACCATTTCGCGCCCACACCATTACGCGTCCACTCTACCTTGCGCTCATACCATTACGTGCCCACACCATTATGGGCCCACAAAATATCGCGCCTACAGCATTTCGCGCCTACACCATTACGCGCCCAAAATACATATTTCGAGCCAACACCATTTCGGGACCACACCATTTCGCCCCAAACCTACACAATTTAGAGCTAACACCAATTTTCGCTCACACTTCGCACTCACACCATTTTGCGCCCACACCATTTCGCACCCACAATATTTCTCGCCCATACTAATAAGCGTCCACACCATTACGCGCCTACACAATTTCGAGCCAACACCAATTTTCGCACACACTTTGCGCCCACACCACTTTGCGCTCACACCGCTTCGTGCCCGCATTTTTACGCGTCCAGACCATTATACGCCTGCACCATTTTGTGACCACACCATTTCGCGTCCACACCATTTCGGGCATACACCATTTCGAGTCTACACGCTTACGCGTCAACACCTTTCGGGCACACACCATTTCGAGCCTACACGCTTACGCGTCCACACCATTTCGCGTCTACACATTTACGTGCCCACTCCATCATGAGCCCACACATCATCGGGAGAATCTGCCCGTGGATGAACATAGTTAATTTAAAACTAGCTAAGCACAAAACGGAGGCGGTGCTTATTACTAGTCAGGCGTAAACCGTAACACTGAGCATTGGAGAACATGAAATCACATTACAAACATTACTTCGGTACTTGGGAGTGCTGATTGATGCCAGACTTAGCTTCAAGCAGCAAGTATAGTATGTCAGTGCTAAAGCGTCAGTAGTAAGAGCAGCCTTGTCACGGCTAATGTCGAATGTAGGTGGCCCTAAACAAAATAGGAGGACGTTATTGAGATATATAAGATGGTTACAAGCATTAGTTAACATTCAAGGGAATACTCGCTATTAATTTTATTGTTTTTTTAACAACATATTAAAATATGACGTCCGAAATTAAACTTAATTTCAAGTTATTCTTTGTTTCCATTTTAAAAATTTCAAATTTTTTTAATTATTCACTTAAAATAAATATGTTAATTAAAGGTTTCTTTTCCGAAAAAAAGTGTTTTGGTAATATGAACAAAAACTGTTGTTTCTTCTCTATATTTCGCTGTAAACAGTACTATTTTGAAAAAAATATGTACAAGAACATTTTTAACTCTAAATCTTTGTCTCCCAATGAAGCTGACCAAAAATCAGCGAAATATAGAGAAATAAAAAAAAAAGAGTTTTTTCAAGTAACAAACCGCACACCCGATACCCCAATACAATAAATATTTTATACTCAATATTTTATACACTAAAAATATACTGTTTTAGGGTTGTCAATCATATTCGCTTCAACCTTGTGAACATCATACAAATGGTACTAAAGTGCAATGCAGCACTTTGGACTATGGCACACCTTCTTGCAAACATCAATGTGACGATCCCGCACTTAATTATAAGTCCGAATTAACTTATGCTTCAGGTCCAGTGCATTACTTCACTACAGTTGACAATATGCAAAAGGAAATATTGACAAATGGTCCGGTAGAAACACGGTTTGATGTGTACAGTGACTTTGTGAATTATAAAAGTGGTAAGTATTCATATTTATGTAAAAAGTGCAAAAATTAAATATTTCTTGCGTCATCATCAGTAGCTCGACAACTCTTTCTGGGTCCTGGCTTGTTCTAGGATTTTCCGCCATTCTGTTCTGTTCCTTGCTTTGTTTTCCAGTTGGTAATCTTAAGTGTTTTCAGATCTTGTTCCATGTATCTAAGTTTGGATCTTCGCTTTGAACTTCTCCCTACTCCGTTCAACATGGCCCATCCAGCGCAGACGTCCGATCTTTATGGATGTTATGACCTCGGGTTCATTGTATGTTGTGTATAGTTCCAAATTATATTTTCTGCGCCGTATGTCATTTTCTTTCATCCCCTTATATATGTGTCTAGGGATTTTTCGTTCAAACGTACCTAATAGGTTCTCACCGCAGTTTTATCAGAGTTTTGTATATTTTGATTTGGTTTTTCTTGTGATGTTGTTAGATCTTAGATGTTTAATTAGTCCATTATATGTTTTATTAGCGATATGTATTCTTGTCTTAACTTCTTCACTGACATTGTTATCTGCGGTAACTAGTAGTAACCTAGATATGTACAATATTTCTTTCCTGCGACATAAAATTGTGCAAGCAGGCCATCAGTTCTCGTTGAACAACACTTGGTATATGTATATAGCCATTATTTTCAGGATGAAACATTGTTGATCTGTTTAACAGATCACTAATCGTAAAACTGTAATTTGTATGCAATTTTCAAAAATTTTTACTAATGTTTTTATAAATGCAGTTGCATTTTTCAACTCATAATAGCCTGCGTATGTTTGGGGCATGTTTTGGTTTTAAATTAAAAAAAGTTAATGTTAATACTACTCCACTACAAAAGCATATGATGAAAAACATTTACAATAAATAAAAACTAAACTAAATTTAAATTACAAATAATAATTTATGGTTTTATATCTTCCATCTTCTCGGGTTTAACCACAAATTCATTTCGCAATCAAAGGACCCCGGCACTTTTATTATGTAAAAGTGGTTTCAGTTAAATTGGCATACTGATCCAAAGTTCTCATTGCCCCAAGACTCAAAATAGTACAGAGGTTCATACATATTTGTAGAGAATAATATTTATTCATACATATTTGTATTTGAGAATAATACATATTTGTAGAATATACAGGGTGGTAGTAAATAAGTGGAACAAAACTTCAAAAAGTGAGTCTGTGTGAAAAAAATATGTAAGAGTTTGCTATATAAATATATGTCTGCAAATGATTCAGTTTCCGAGATACGGGATGTTGAAATTTTTCTTGCAAACTGACGATCTATTTATTGCTCTGATTTATACGTCCATGCTCTGAAATCACTTTTACATAAGAAAAGTACCGAGGTCAGAAGTGCAGCTATACTGTCATAATTGGCTTTATTTAAATTGTTTTTCAAAAAAATGTTTATCGATAATATAGATCTAGTTCCTTTAGAACATCGTTTTCCTATATATTTAGAAATATTTTTTATTTTCTCTTATATATTCACTATTTTTTCCATACATTTTAAATAGATAAAATAACTTAATTATTACAAGAACTATGAATAGCACAATATCTATTATTAATGTATGAAATATGTTTATTTTAGGTGTTTATCAACATGTCGCAGGAGAATATTTAGGAGGACATGCCGTCAGAGTTTTAGGATGGGGAGAAGAGAATGGAGTTGCTTATTGGTTGGTTGCTAATTCATGGAATGAAGATTGGGGTGACAAGGGATTGTTTAAAATACTTCGCGGACAAAATGAAGTAAGCTTCGAGGAGGGTATGGTTGCGACACTTCCAAGAATCTAATTGTAAACAAAATATTGGTATTACGCTTACTTACGTTTTATTTTAAATACAAAAATGTATTAAAAACTTTTTATTTTTTTACTAGTCTAACCAATATATATATATATATATATATATATATATATATATATATATATATATATATATATATATATACCCGGTATTTAGGCGGCACACGCCTTTCCAGTAGGGATCTATGGAGGAGTATCACCGAGCCGCAAGCCCTTATCTCTTGCCGTACTGCACCACCATAGGTCGATCAGACACCAGCATATTCTATTCTAAGCCGCAGATTCATTTTTAGAATTTTAAACTGCTGCGTTAGCCTTTTTGTTTTTGTACAACCGAGCGGGGGATTGAACTTACTTCCTCTGAACCACTAGCAGTGAAGCTAGTGAGGAACTGGCCGCCCAGCCCGCTTGGCTATCTGACCAATAAATATAAAAAAAATAAAATTCAGATGAGATACAAGCCTGAAAACTGCTATCACACACCTGTATACCCAGGTATTAGAAACTGAAGCACTGCTTGAACTTATTATCTTCCATTTTGTATATGGCTTTTATACCTGTCTTCTATCGACAGTTTTCAGGATATTTGAATGTATAGTCTGTTCTCTCAGTTTGGGAATATTTAGACAAAGTTATTGTCGGAAAACTACAACACAAAAATTAATTCCTATCTCTCCTATTAATACCTCAAATAAAAAGACACTGTTTCATTTAAAGAAGAAGAAGAAAAAACATAAATAATGGGAGTGTATATTCATTACGAGGAAGATCCCCAACAAGATGGATCGATTAAATTACAGGAATATGCTAAATACCTATGACTGAGTTAAAAAAAATGATCAGAGATGGAGATCTTTAGAGATGGACAATAGACGACATCACGGTGATCACCACACTCCCTCCAGGGAGTCAAGATTGAACAGAGAGGTATTCATTAATTTTAATTAAATACTTTCTATTTATTAATAATAATCTATGAACAACTATTAGATTTCAAAAATAAACATTTAAACATCTGAATTGAGAAACAGCCATTCTTGCAGAAAGTTTACAAGATCTCCAAACATTACTAAATCTAGTCAGTGAAGCAAGTTATTGGAGAGGCCTAAAAATCAACATTTCAAAGACAAAGTGGATGGTGGTTGGAAAGATTCATATAGATCAAGGTCTCTTTCTCTTAATGGAGAAGAGATAGAAAGGGTAAATCATTTCAAATACCTTGGCAGCTGGTTAAATGTAAATTGTGAAGAGATAATATCCAGGATCGAAATATCACGTAAGGCTTTTATGACCTGGAAACCAGTTTTATGCAACAGAAACCTGTCAATGAATATTCGTAAGAAGGTCCTGAAATGTTATGTGTGGTCGATCCTATTGTATAGTTGTGAGACATGGACTTTAAAAACCACAATGCTAAACAAGTTAGAAGCATTCGAATTGTGGTGCTTTAGACGAATCCTAAAGATATCGTGGGTTTCGCACACTTCCAATGAAGATGTTTTTCAAATGATCAATTCAGAACGTCTGCTCATAAACACCATAAGGTTGTGTGGCAGCTTCCAGTCAGTCAAAATTTACCAGCGTAACAAAAAAATGATTACTAAATTTACTAGACAGTTGGGACTGGGATCAGTGAACCAAGTACATCAATCTTATTAATAGCTGAAGTAAACTTACTGTTGCTGTACTTAAAAAAAAAAATAAAAACAATATTGAATAATGAAAGTCTTTATTAATTTTGATTTATAATTGACTAAAAATTCAAACGTAAAAATTTAAATCATTTTTTAAACGATGCAGTTTATTTTGTTGATAAAAACTGTTTGTTAATAATTATTTACTTTAATTTAAAATTCATATTGCCTTTGAGCACATGTCCTGGGTTGTACATTAATTTCTAATTACATTTGAAAACAAAATTTGTCGAATTTAGCAAAAAAATTACTAAATTTACTAGATACTTGGGACTAGGATTAGTGAATCGAGTATGCAAAGTAAATTTTATCCATTTTACAAAAATGGCAGTTAAAATTTTGGCGAGAGCATTTTTAAGATTGTAAATTTTGGCTAAATTTTTGACAACAATTAGAATTTCGACAACACTTTTTACTAAAAACTTAATATGTCACTGGCTGTATAAAAAAAATAGGAAAAATCATTTAATAAACTTCAAAAAATGTAAAATTAAACTATTAAATGTAAAAAAAGATAATACAAATACCATTTTAAATATTGAGTGTATATGGGATTAAGCTACAATTTATTTTAATGATAATTATTACAGTTTTAACCATGATACTATAATAACAAGATAAGATCTTCCCGTAGCACAAAATAGGTCGTGTTCTGTCTGAAGAGAAAAGTCAAATTTATTACATCTGTCATGATCTGGGGCAGCATATCGTCTAAAGTTGTGGAAAAGTTACATTTTATGGATGGGATTGTAAACACGGACAAATATTTGAATATTTTAGAAGAATTTCCTTTACAGATTATGAAACACCGTTTAACATCAGCGCAAGATTTTCTCTTCCAACAGGACGGCGCAGGTTGTCATACCTCAAAAAGGAGTTTAAAATGGATTGAAGACCATGGCAACCACTTCTGAAATGGGTTTCTAACAGTACCGACTTCTCCCCGATAGGACTTTGTGGCACGAAATGAGAAAAGCTTTCAGAAAACATCCTGCCAGGTCCGTCAACGAATTGAAGGAAAAATGGCAAGAATTATGGGATTCTTTTACATTAGAATTTTGTCAGAACTTGGTAAAAACTATGCCTCGAAGAATTGTGGATGCCATTAAAAATAAATGGATGTAACTCAGTGGTAAACTTTATTTTTTTGTTAATATTACATATTATATGCGTTTTTTTAAATTTATAATTATTCTGTTTAATCAATAGTTTTCATTACGTTATAAAATATTTTCTATAATTAGGAAAATCAAAAATGTTGTTCGATGCATTAAAACTTCTAAAATTCACGCTGCGCTTTATTTAACGTTGGGCCAACTGAGATGGGAAGGGGCTTGTATAGGGTTCAACTGTTACCAAGTTCGAGTAATTTTTTTAGGAGGAAATTTTCCATCAAAAAGTAGTTGAACAGTATCTGTTGGAATATATGTAGCCGACCCATCTCTATTTAATACTCATTTATTTAACCTCTTTTTCTTCATGTACCATGTCCTTTCAGAACGTTGGTTACCATTATAGCTATCTTGATTTTATTCACTTCCACCTTAAATAATATGATTGTATCAACACCATACCAATCTCGCAAGTTCTTCTTCGTTCTGGACTGCATTTGTCTGCTATTTTTTCTTGCATAATATTTTGTAGTAACCTATATTTGGGACCTCTCATTACATGTCCGAAATACTCCAGCTTTCTCTGCTTGATGCTTTTTATGATCTCAGTAGTCTTGCTGAGACGTTCTAGTATTGTGGAGTTTCGAATCTTCTCCACCCAGGAAACTTTTAAAAAATCTTCTATAGCACCACATTTCGAAAGCCTCAAAGCGATTTAGATCGATTTTATTTACAGTCCAGGACTTGACACCATAAAGTAAGACCGAGAACATGTAGCAGCGAAGTAGGCGGATCATCAATGCCAATTTAAGGTCTTTAGGTTATTACATAACACCTTGGACATCCTTCTAAAAGCAGCTCTAGCCTGTTCTATTCTAGATCTAATTTTGCCGTGACTTTCTGCGTTACAATTTAATTGCTGTCCAAGGTAAACGATTTTATCAACTTACTAAAGTTTGGTATTATTTACATAAATAGACGGTTTTATATGGTGTTGTTTACTTATTACGAGTATTTTGGTTTTCCGTATGTTCAGATCCAGACCTGCCTTCTTACAACTCTCAACGACACTATCAAGTAGAGTTTGCAGATCTTTTTGATTTATTGATGATTATTGATGACTTCACCGTTCACAAGTATTCCTTCTTGTTTTTCAGAAAGTGCTTTTCTGAAAATTATTTCTGAGTAAACGTTAAAAAGCAGGGGTGACAAGAGGCATTCCTGCCGTACTCCTTTTAATATTAAGAGCCTGTGATTCCACACCATCTACTAAAACTGATGTTCTTTGATTCCAACATAAATTTGTAATTATTCCAACATCTCTGCCGTCCAAGCCAATGTCTTTTAGAGCTTCGATCAATATAGAGTACTTAACATTATCAAATGCCTTTTGGAAGTCAATAAAACAACAGAATATGTCTACAGATCTCTCTTGTTCCAAACCCGTTACGGAAACCAAACTGAGTGTCATCCAGGTATTCCTCGTATTTATTGTAGATACGACCATGTATTACCTTCAGAAAAATTTTCAATAAGTGGTTTAACAAACTGATGGTTTTATAATCAGCAAAGGTTTTTGCTGTTGTCTTCTTAGGTAGAGCTAGAAACAGTGAATTAGACCAACCATTAGGTAGTTGTCCGCTGATATAAATGGTATTGAAAAACGAAGTTATAGCCTCTAAAACATTGCTATCATTTATAAGCTTGTATATTTCAGTTGGAATTTCATCAGGACCAGTCGCTCTGTCATCTTTTGATGATTGTATGTCTTTTATAACCTCAGAGCGTGTTATTAGGGGTCCGTCGCAGTTAGTATTATCGTGAGGTGAACTACTCTTATCGTCTTCGAATAGGTTCGTGACGTAATTTTCTCATTCTTTAAGTTTGTCCTCTACTTTACTATGTTGATCCTGTAGCAATGCAGTTTGTTTCTTATTAAAGATACCAGCCGCTTCTTTCACTTTTTTATACATGTTAAACGTGTCGTATCTGTTTTCAAGTTCTTCAATGTCATGACACTGTTTGGCTAGAAGTTGATCTCTTTGCTTCTCGTAGTTTACGTCAAATTTCTTTTTGTATGCTGTTGTGAAGTGTTTCGTTGTTTTTCGCTAGTCGCGGTTGTTCCATCAAATCCAATATGTCATCTGTCATCCAAGCCTACTTTTTAGCTTTGACCTGCTTTGTAAATTTCTCACACAGATTTCTTTTACTGTTGTTACGATTTTATTTAAGCCCTCATCGACGTTTTCACTAATATTTTCCCAAATTAAATTTTCGTTCAGTTGGCTTTGAACTGGGTCTTTAACTTTCTCGTCTTGTAATTGGGCTGTATCAATATTTTTGCGAGACTTCTTTTTGATCACCTTTTTAATTTTAATTGGGTTACATCTACTATGGGATTGTGATCAGACCCAATGTCAGCACCTGGATAACTGATTCGATGCAGTTTCTAAATCGATTTTTTCTTAGAATGAAGTCGATTTGGTTCTTAATACTTTTGTCATCTGATTCTGCATTTGACTTCCAGATGTAGAGTCTTCTCGGTGGTAGTTTAAAGTGAGTATTCGATATAATGAAATCGTGTTTTTGACAGAACTGGACAAGTCGATCTCCACGTTCGTTTCTGTTTCCCAAGCCATAATCCCCCACAATGTTCAAGCAGCGTCCTTTGCCGAATTTAGCGTTAAAATCTCCGAGGACTATGGTATTTTCTTCTGCTTTGACAAGATCTAGAGCAACAGTAAGAACTTTGTAAAATGTTTCTAATTTATCTAACCTCTGGGATGCGGAAAACCGCATAGGGATAAAGGCAAATGTAGGCATTTGTAGATTTTGCAAGTTCGGACACAAAAATCAGTTGTTTATTTCTAGTGATATCCTCGAAAGAAATGGATAGAAAAAAGGAAGGGAAGGTCTATGTACATGTATGATTGTTGGACGATATGTTTATGGGCGATTGGATGTATAGATAGATTATTTCCAAAAATTTATTACTCAAAAATAACAAAATATATTTAAAGCGTAAATTCAAAAAAACAAAGTTTAGAATTAACAATCTAAAAGTAAGTGTAACTAAAATACAATTATTACTTAGCAAACTAATAACTAATGCTTATCACAACTGAAAACATATCAAAATAAGTAACCCATTAATCAGGTTATATTACTGGATCTACTTCGTTAATATCTTCAGAAAACTCTTCTTTAAGGTAAACATTGTAAGATATATAATGTTATTCTACATTATCCAGAAAATATCCAAGAGGAACAGCAAAAATTATCCTAAAATAGGAAGTAATTTAAAAACATACTACATTAAGCAAAAATATAATTGTCACTCAACAAAATTCTTTATTTTTTTGTGTACGCCTTTACAAGTATCGAATTTTTTTACCCACGTTTAAACGTTTTCCTCACTAACTAGAATGAGGAATTTTTTGTCTATATCTGCTATTTGTATAATCACAATTTTTTTTTAAATTTCATTTTTAAGATTCCAAAATAGTCAATTTCCGCAAATTGGTCCTTGATATAATTTTAAAATACTTGATAAACGGCAAAGGTCTCCTGGCCGTTTATACATTATACTTCAAAATAATAACATTTGGAAATATTGAGCTTTAAATTTGGTAATTTTTAAAATAAATTCTTTTTGATGATGGCTTATCCAGTCATATATATTTTGATGATATTTCTATTCTAAACTCGTGGACAAAATTAACGCACCACTCAATATTTTTCTCAATAATCTTTATTTATTGATAATTTACTGTACGACAAGGTGCCTGTGGACCTTGTTTGACAGTGACAGTTGTTATGTAAGATAATAATAGTCTTGTTTTAACAATAATTTGTATTAAACTTCGTTTAAGACTAAAAGTGAGTTTAACTTTTCATAAAAAGTGCCGGTTAAAGCAAAGTGCTTGTGAGAAAAAAGCTTTTTATTGTGATATTTTTCATCAGATGCATGTTTGGAAGTTCATTTGCATAAATATCAAATAAAAAAATGAACCGCCAAAGAAATTTGTCAATAGAGGAGGCAGTGCGAGCATCGACTCTCCAAGATGAAGGATATTAAATGCGATACGTTGCAGATTTGTTAGGAAGACATCATTCCAGTATCAGTTACAAGGTGAGGCGATATAATGAAACAGGGTCCTACCATCGAAGACCAGGGTAAGGGCGAAAACGTTACACTAATCAAATTGATGATCATTTTTTGAGACAACGTGCTCTCAGGGATAGGAGAGTCACCAGCAATTTGCTAAAAAATGAACTAGCAGATGTTCGAAATGTTGCGATATGGTGTCGAACAGTTAGAAGACGTTAACATGAAGCAGAATTGAACAACAGGAAACCGGTCAAAAACCCTGGCTTACCAGAGAACACAGGGTTCAGAGATTGAATTTTGCAAGATTGGCCCAAAATTGGGTCCATCGATGATTGGAAACGAGTTCTTTTCTTCGATGAGACTAAAGTAAGCCTAAAAGCTCCAGATGGTCGTGAGCATGTCTGGCAAAGGCGAGGAGAAAAGTTTGCCAGCTGCAGTATTTCTTCTAAAGTACCTTTTGATGGTGGCTCTAAAATGTTTTGAGGGGCATTTGTTTTGAAGCTCATTGAGGCCGTTATTGAAGAACAGGAGAATATTCCGCAAGCTTTTGTTGAACATTTGATATCAAGCATGCCTCGACGCATAAATGCAGTCATAAGAAGTAGAGGAGGGCCTACATGGTATTAGTGTTGACCCAGTTGCATTTTATTGTGTTACTTTACTGATTTTTTTCTTTTTGCAATTTGAAGTTATGCTAGCTTACTTACGCATTTCCGGCAAAAACAATTTTTTAAAGAAACAATAAGGCAAATTAAGGTATGATAAAGTCATGTTGGACTTATTTGTAGGTGTTTCTTATTATTTCAATGTAACTTAGTTTTATTTTGTGTTCATATTGTAAATATTTAGATTAATTCAAGTGGTACGTTAATTTTGTCCAGGAGTTTATTTTATTGTTTCTACATTCTAAATTTTGTGTTTTTGTACAATTTTAACTCAATTGTGCTTTAACACTTCTTTTTAGCTGTTACACATGTGTAATTATCTTTTGTCCCAACAATAAAACTAATTTCCATTACGCAAAATATTTGTTAAAAACTCGAAGACTTTTCAGCCATTTTCATTTACTTGCCGTTTTCTAAAGTGTGCAAGTATCTTATGTCTTTTTAAACTCGTTTTATTATTATTTACTCTTTCATTATTTAGAAAGAAATAGGTTGCTGTAATCCATTTTATGCAGAGCAATGACGCACATTTCTCTTCAAAAAGAAAAATCCGAAAAGTAATAGGAAAAAAGAAAAAGGAACTTAAATCTTATGCCTCGTTACCACTGAAAATACAGAAAAATTACTCACATGCTGATCAAATTATATTGCTCAATCGTATTGGGGATTGTATACTGCCACTTTTTCTTTATGTTCTTTTGAAATAAGGTGGAAACGGACATCATGCACAAAAAGTAATTCTACTCCACACAGATAACATTGAATGGGCACAGCAGGGATCATCCTAAAAAATTAAAAGATTATTATTTCAAACAAAACCTTACAAAATATGATAAACATTTTAACAGTTAAATTATAACGAATAGCGTTTATAATAACGATTTTAAAATTAGTTACTATTTTTAACCAAATTAACCAAAATTTTAGTTGAAAGTACATTATGTTTAGAATTTCAATTCACAAATCGTCTCAAAAAAGTATTTTCCACCATCTGAAAAGTACCATAAGTTTCAAGCTATTTTTCTGCTGAACCTTTGATTCAATTTCGATGATTTATTTTTACGTTATAGGTTTATTTCTAAGAAATTACTGTACCAATGTATTCCGAGAAATGTCAACGTTTTATCCATATACAGAGTGTGAAAATAAAGTTTTTCCCGTTATTTTGCAACGCCCTATGGAATTTATTAGAAACAAACGTTATATCTTACGAATACTGCAACATAGCTTCATCTTTTCTCAACGGTTCAATAAATTTCACAGGGTATTGCAAAATCAGATGAAAAAACACGACTTTCTTTTTACACCCCGTATATGGGTAAAACGTTGACATTTTTGAGAAAACATTGGTGCAATAATTTCTTATAAATAGACCTATAATTTGAAATAAAAATCATCGAAATCCAACCAACGGTTTATGAGAAAAATAGCTTCAAACTTATGGTTCACTTTGTGGTGGTGCGTTAATAGAGTTTTGTGCAAGCAAATACGTATACGTAACGTATCTTTTTGACATAAAAGCATGCGCATTAATGGTTGAACTAAAGTATCTAGATACGTATTACTTAACGTAACGGGATGGTACGTTACGTTCATACGCATCCCTATCGCCGAAAGTAACCGAGGGGATCTTACGCGATTACCAAAATTTCAACATCCACATTTCCATATTTGTTCATCTTTATTTGTTTTGATTTTTATAAGTAATAGAGAGTAGTAAAAAATGACTTCACTTCAGCAATGAAGATAATTTGTTTTTGTTGAAGGAAGTCGTAGGCCAGAACCCTTAAGACCATCCAAAAAGGTGGAATTTAATTAAAAAGCGAAAAAGATTTATATATTGTATATCAGACATGGTATATAAATTAAAGCGGCCGTATAGTCGTGCAAGATATAAAGAAGAAGCGCATCTTCTATGTCTTCTCGTCTTCTTCATCATCAATAAATGCACCTACATTTAATATCGCATCCATCTCCAAAATTAAAAATTGTTCAAAAAAATATTTGTTATTTATTTTGAATATCAAAAATAGGGTTAAGTGACAAGGACAAACTTGCACTGACAACTTATTAGTTCATCACTAATTCGATGTGGACAACATCGTTACGTTACGTGCAGAACTTTAACTCTTTAACTTAATTCTTTACGTATAGGGAGATACGTTACATTAGGTAGTTACAAAAACTCCCTAAAGTTAGAGAGTAGTGTATGATTTTGGTGATAACCCACCCACCTGAACCCCGAATTTGGCCGCACCATTTTACATCAATAAATATTAATTTAGATTATGAGTACCTGTCTTCTTTGCTAACATAGTTAATTATAGACACACTAACAATTGCTTCATGATTCAAACGTGAATTAAGCTTTTGTTATATAAATGCACCTTAGTTACTTACTTTCTCGCCATGAGATCTAAATCGTTTAAGTTTTTAGATACTTCGGGATGATATCCTTGTCGATTACATAATTTAACAAAATCTAATAGTGGCCATATTTGATTTTCATCCATACCGGATGTTAAAATCGTTGATTCAAAATTATTTTTGTGCCATATATTGGCGTACTGCACAGTTGATCTTTCAACAGATCTGCGATCAGCATGCAGTAACCTAAAACACAATTTATGTTTCACTATACAACTGTAACAAAATATGTAAGACATAAATAAATAAGGAAGGAATTACGTTCATGGCTAAACTCATAACGTCTTAATAGTGCATTTAAATATGTAGAAAATAAAAAACTCTAAAAACTATAAAAGTAAAAATAAGAAATATATGAAATCAAACTGGCAGTCAAGTAAAATTAAACCTAGCATATCGGCCAAGAAACTTTACAAGGTAAAGGCCTTTTAAAGAGGTTGGTTAATAATCTAGTCAATTCAATTAAATCCTTACTCCATAAGACTTTTCTTTAACTCTTTTTGTTTCAGAAGCATGTCTCGCGGGTTAGCGTTTTCAAACGCGACGTCAGCCATAACTTTCAATCCTTGGTTCATTGCAAAACGTACACTATTTACCTAAAACAAAAAATACAAATACTAGAAAAAAAAATACAAACAAATATAAGAATCTGGATCTCACTGGATACGTGAAACCATAGTCAAAGACCACAAAAACTAAATGTATATAGTCGGGTATACTAGATACTCATTAATTGGACCGTTTTTATAGAAGGAAATTTAACAAGCGATAATTATGAAAAGCTACTTAGAAATAAGATTATACATGCCTAGAAAAACACGTTTGGAGCTAATTTTAATGAGATATGGTTTCAGCAAGACGGAACTCCAGTTCATTTTGGTGTATATGTTATTTAGATCAGGCATTTCTTGGCCGATGGATTGGTAGATTAGGTAGTGATGGAGTTTTCTCCGATTTCCACCAATTGTTGGGGGGAAAGCTTATTAAATTCCTTTCCCCGTGCGTGTACAGTACCAAATATTTTAGGACCATGGACTGTACAAGAGTTTTTCCTTCGATATATACAAGCGGAACTTCACGGCGCTGGTTCTTTATGTGTTTGATTTAATAGGGGTTGTACTTAGAGAAAAATAAGCGTAATTAATTGAATCTACACATTTAATAACAAGAGAATATTTACACAAGCACTAATACTAATGAAAGAGTTCGCTTTAAAACATTGTCCATTATTATATCGGCATTTTACGGGCGCGCGAAACTATCGAGAAAAACAAATACACGTTTCACTGCATTTTGGCGGCGAAGAGAGAGCTTAGGTACCGGCTACTAGTACCAAACAGCTTGAGACACTAGTCACATCTGCGAGAGATTTTGGATTTAATCTTTACCCAAAATTGCCGACAAGGCGGCGTCATTTTACCACTCAAACAACCCTTATAAGCTATTTATGGCACAAATATTTTGCAGGCAAAAAGTATAGTCTGTAGCATAAAATCCAAACTAATATTTGTGAGAGCTAAAAATTATACTAAAATTAATATAAAATGTTGTTTTTACAACATACTCGCCCCCGTTGAAGCGCTGGCTTTAACACAAATAAACAGATAATATTACGACAAGAGAGCATGGGGAAGAGAAAATACACTACAATTCTAATCTTATACTAACTTAATTTAAATCGTCATTGGGTAGAGGACACAATTTGGTAATAGAGTGCTCGAAGACTCCATCTTTAGTTTTGACCGATGCAATTCTTACTCTCCCATCCTTTCCTGGAAAGACCTCAATCACTCTTGCTAGTACCCAATAAAGAGGAGGAGTGTTGTCTTCAATCAACAAGACGAGATCGTTGGGTTCTAGGTTCTTATGAGGGAGAAACCATTTAGGGCGATTTTGAAGTCTGTTCAAATAGTCAATAGACCATTTTTTCCAAAACACTTGTTGGAGTTTGGACAAATGCTGCCATAAATTTAGTCTGTTTTCGGGAACGTGGATCACATCTTTTTCAGGGAATGAGGTGAGAGATTGTCTAATCAAGAAGTGTCCAGGAGTAAGATAAGTAAAATCAGAGGGGTCACTTGAAAGGGAGCAAAGAGGCCGGGAATTGAGCACAGCTTCAATTTGAACGAGGACTGTGGTGAATTCTTCGAAAGTAAGCTTAAGATTACCCAGGAGTCTACGCATATGATGCTTTGCGCTTTTAATAGCACTTTCCCAAATACCACCATGATGAGGGGCTCGAGGAACTATAGTTTTCCAGCGAATATGGGACGAGGCCAAAAATTCTTTAATAGAACGGGAGCTTTCCTTTTCCTTTAAAAACTTATAGAGTTCAAACAGCTGGTTACGAGCACCAAGAAAGTTCGTAGCGTTGTCACTGAATATTGTCTGAGGGAGGCCTCTACGACTAATAAAGCGTTTTAGAGCGAGAATAAACGTCTCTGTAGAGAGGCCAGAGACGACTTCAATATGAACAGCTCGAGTCGACAAGCAAACGAAAAGAGCAATATACGATTTTATTAAAGGAGCCTTGCGAAGTTTGGAAGCCTTTATCTGAAAGGGACCACCAAAATCTAATCCAACATGAGTGAATGCTCGAGAGGAATTTAAACGTTCCTTTGGCAAATCTGCCATAATCTGGGTAGCGGGTTTGGCACGAAACTTAAAACAAACCATACATTGGTGAATGACCTTTTTGACTTCTCGTAGTCCATTTAAAGGCCAATATTTGAGACGAATTTGGGACAGAGTATTTTGAGGCCCTGAGTGACAAAGTCTGACATGTTCTCTGTATAGAATGAGACGAACTATACGATTTTTTGAGGGAAGGAGAAGGGGGTATCTTTGATCAAAGGTAACGTCTGAGTTTCCAAGGCGACCTCCTACCCGGAGCATTTCATTCTCATCCAAAAAGGGGTTTAGGGGTAACAGACACTTATTATTTAGAGTTTTACCTTTCTTAAGCTCAGAAATCTCACTCGAGAAGTTGGAATACTGGAGCATTTTAATAATCTTAAGTTCAGCGTTTTGAAGTTCGGTGACTTCAAGGGTATCCGTTAACTTGCGAGAAAGCGGTTTAGCATTATAAACAAATCTAAACATATAGGCTAAAGTTCTTACAAACTTTGAAAAATTAGAGAACCTATCAGAAAGGGAGGTGAAAAAATCTATTGTATCATTTCGAGCATGAAGAATGACTTTCCTTTCTTCAGGCAACTTGGAGGTATAACCCTTTGGGTTGTATTTTAATAAATCCAAACGCAGTTGATTTAAAAATGGAGGACCATGAAACCACAAGGAAGAGTTTAATATCTCAGAGGTTAACATTCCTCGGGAGAGTATGTCGGCAGGATTCTCTTTGGATCGTAGATGCCTCCAGTGAGCATCATGGGAATTATCTAAAATTTGTGCGACCCTATTTGCTACAAATTGGGTCCAACGAGAAGGATGTGAACGAAGCCAAGCGAGAACAATTTCTGAATCCGACCACATATTTATAGAGTCTAATCGAGATAATTTTTCTTTAACGATGTTAGCAATCCTTGCTGTGAGTTTACTACACAATAGCGCACCCATGAGTTCCAATATTGGAAGGGTCAAGGGTTTTAGCGGAGCAACGCGACTCTTAGATGCTAGAAGGGAACAAGGCACCTGTTCTGATTTATAGGTCACACGTAAGTAGATACAAGCTCCATAAGCCTTTAAACTTGCATCTGAGAATGAGTGAACCTCAACACCAGTGATTTCTTGACTCAAAAAGAGACATCTTGGTATACTTAAGTCCTTAAAATGAGAGAGACTGCTAATAAAACTTAGCCATTCATGTAACGTATCTGCGTCAAGGGTATCGTTCCAACTGATTTTGGATATCCAGATTTTTTGCATTATAAGTTTAGCGACAACTGTAACGGGATTAATAAGACCTTGAGGATCAAATATTTGGGCAATCATTGACAGTACTTCTCTTTTAGTATATGAGTTCTTTAGGGTGAAATCTGGAAGAGAGATTGAAAACGTGTCAAGAACAGGATTCCAGCATAAACCTAAAACCTTATTAGAGCAATTATCTGGAGCTATGACATAAGAAGAGTTCGAAGAGAGAGAAGAAATATTTTTTGGAAACAAGTCCGAGTTAGAACACCATTTATGTAGAGAAATACATGCTGTTCCAAGCAAACTAGTTATTTCCTTATGAGCTTTGAGAAGAGTTTGCTCATCATTAGCACCATAGAGAATGTCATCGATATAGCAACTATTTTTAAGAGCGTCACTGGCCAGGGGATACTCAGTTTGATGAGTATTTGCCAGTTCCATTAAACAGCGAGTACTCTGAAAACTGGCGCTTTTAGTTCCATATGTAACTGTTTGCAGTTCCAGGCACTCAATATCTTTTTCCGGAGAGTCACGCCAAAGTATGTTTAATAGAAAGGTTTGATCAGGATTAATTTTAACCTGTCTGTACATCTTTTGTATATCCGTTGTGAAAACAAAGGAATATAAACGAAAGCGTAGCAAAATGTCAAAAAGTTCCGGTTGAAGAGTAGGACCTTTGAGGAGGATATCATTTAGCGAATAACCACTAGAACTTTTCATCGAACCATCGAAAACAACCCTAAGTTTGGTTGTTAAGGATTCTTCCTTTAATACACAGTGATGCGGGAGAAAATATTTATTTTCTAAGTTTCCATTATTAAGAGAGAGAGGGACTATTCTAGCATGTTCGAGAAGAAGATATTCACTAATGAAAGACTTATATTGAGCGTATGTATTTTCATTTTTTAAGAGCCTATTTTCTAAATTAATAAATCTCTTTAGAGCTATTTTAAAAGATTCGCCTAATCTTTTATGCGCATTTTCGAAGACAAGTGGAAGATTTACTTGAAAACGACCCGAAGGTAAAATACGAGTGGTTTTATTAAATATTTGTTCAGCCAATTTCTCATCGGGGGTTAATTTACTAACGTGCGGAACTTCTTCAATCTCGAAGAATTGTTGAATTAATTTATCTAAATTATTCTCTTCGGATTCGGACTGAACAAGGAGAGAAACATTTGACTGAGAAATAGCCAAATTTGAACTACGATGAAAGACATGAGGGGGAAGAGTACCAAAAATAACATAACCCAAGTGGGTATTCTGAAGAATGGGAAGATTCTTTCCTAAACGTATGAATCCATCAGTCAATAATTCGCTGTAGATGTCACCAGCTAGAAGCAAATCAATTTTACCGGGAACAGAGTACGAGGGATCTGCGAGAGTGAGATTAGGGGGACATTTATTTTGCTTCTATTTAGGGTAGCTTTAGGAAGTCTGCAAGTTATACTATCAAGTACAGCAAAAGAGGTTTTGAAACTTCTATCCTTCACATTATAGGGAAAAAATTCTATGTTAATCATTTGATTTGACAATGAGGTGTTTTCGGATATGGTTGATATCTGTAACTGTTTAAAATAAGGGGTGAGGTTTAACTTCTCAACCAAATCACGAGAAATAAATGAATGTTGACTCCCATTATCTAAGAGCGCTCTGGCATGCATAGGCCTGCCATCTTTAGAAAACACTGTCACTAAAGCGGTAGCCAACAATACATCAGTTT